GTCACTGCTAATGAGGGGCTTAATATTCCAATATTCAACTTCAGAATGAAAATGGTTGCCAGACCATATCTTGTACACGCGAGGTCCTCAACACATGAGTGGATGAGAATTTGTTGACAGTTGAGTCATACAGATTTGAAGGTCAAATGCGTCTCATTTGGCATAATAAACAAAAACAATAAAAAATGTCAAATTTCATTACCAACGAGGAAAACTGACAATAGTTCGTAAATTAGGGGGGTCAAAGTGAGAATAACCAGACTACAAGGGCTTTTATTGATATTTAACCCCACCTAGTGCAATACGACACTTTCTCCCCTATTGCTTGTCTAGTAGCGTAGGCTAGCACGGGTCCACGGCATTTTCCCCAGCACCAGTGGCGGAGGTGCGTGTATCTTCGACGGTCTAAGCACCCGTAAAATCCTCACCTAAAACCCTAAGTTATATATTACTACTTACAGCGATGAACTTCGTCGATGAGAAATTCGAGCTGAGAGAAATTCAGTGACTCAAAGGCCACAATGATAGGGCTTCCAGCGTAGCTTGGAAACCGAAAACTGGAGGCAACAGTGTTCCTTCCGTACTCGCTTCCTGTAGTGGAGACAAAACCTTATGTATTTGGGAATAAAATCTCGCTCTTTCCAGCAAAAAGGTTTCAATTTCTCTTCATTCAAGCTTCTGTTTACCTGCCGAGATCGAGACGTGTCGACTTGAGTATAAAAATATAAGATTATTCTATGATCAACATAAGTTGCAAATTAAGGCCTTAAATGATTTAAATTGCCTGAAGTTCTGGATTGAAGATCATAGACTTTTATTGAGCTCAAGAAGGAGAAGAGCTAAGAGGAAGAGGAAAAATGAGTTCTATTAAACGTGAGTTAACCATACAGAGGACAGCTATATAAATAGCTTATTACAATGGATTAGTTATGACAGAAAGTGTAATTAGAAGCTTAACTAACTAACTAATCCACAGCTTACCAACTAATCTTTATTTACAATATTTACACCCTAATACTCCCGCTCAAGGTGGCTTGTAAATGTCCTTTACAGCCATCTTGGACGACAAAGAAAAAAACTAAGTGTAAGGAAGGGGTTTAGTAAACAAGTCAGCCAACTGGTAGTGAGACCTGATGGGCAGTAATTTGAGAACTCCCGAAGAAACTTTTTCACGAACAAAATGGCAATCTATGTCGATATGTTTAGTGCGTTCATGAAAGGTTGGATTAGAGGCAATATGTATAACATCATGATTGTCACAATAGAGCAAAGCAGGGAAATCAACCTTGACTTGAAAATCTTTGAGAAGTTATGCAAAAACCTGTAATGGAACGTCGAGAATTAGGGCATGATCCCCAATCAGCATCAGAGAAGGCTTACAAACGAATTGGAGTACAAGCATCAGAGTAAGCTCGTAGATGTAAGGAAGAATTGGAAGAAAAGAACAACCCTTGACCAGGACTTTTCTTGAGATAACGAAGCAGGAGATGTACTGCCTTGAGATGAGGAAGTCGAGGGTGAGCCAAGAATTGAGTGAGCTTGTGACCACAAAAGTAATATCATGACGAGATAAAGTGAGATAAAGAAGTTTTCCAACAAGCCGTCGATAGTGTGTAATGTCAGGAAACAATTCACCCTTAGAGGCGGTTAAACGAAGTTTTGGATCCATTGGAACAGCAGTTGGCTTACAAGCTAAGTAACCTGTGTCCTCAAGCAATTGTAAGGTGTAGTGGCATTGAGAAAGCACAATACCTTGCTTGGACTTAGCAATATTAAGACCAAGGAAGTACTTGAGACAACCAAGATCCTTGAGCTTAAACAGTGTATGCAGAAACTGTTTGAGCTCATCGATAGCTTGAGATGAAGAACTAGTGAGGATAATATCATCCACATAAACAAGAAGAGCAACAAAAGAGGATCCATGACCTTTTGTGAAGAGAGAGTAATAAGATTTTGACTGGAGAAAGCCAAACCTGATCAAAGCTTGAGAAAATTTTGAATGTCATTGTCTCGAAGCTTGCTTGAGACCATAAATTGATTTGTGCAGCTTGCATACAAGTTTGCCTTGAGATGGAGAGGATTTTCCCTGTTGAATATAGCTGAGAGGAAGATCCATATAGACTTCCTCAAAAAAATCGCCATTTAAAAAGGCGTTGTTGACATCGAGTTGAGCTAGATGCCAATTTTGTGAGGCAGCAAGTGGAAGAAGAACTTCCACAGTCACTAACTTTGCCACGAAGCGAAGGTTTCAACAAAGTCCAGACCTTTTTGTTGTGCATAGCGTTGGCTACCAACCGAGCCTTATGTCGCTCAACAGACCCATCCGATTTAAACTTGATCTTATAAATTCATTTGCATCCAATGGTATGTTTGTTAAGAGGAAGAGTAGTGACTTGTCCAGGTGTTATTTGCTTCCGTAGCTTTCAACTTTTCATGCATTGCCAATCGCCATTCAGGAAACTTCACTACTTGGTGATAGTATTGAGGCTCAACCTGAGAGGATATGCCAAGCGCAAACTGTTTGTGTGAATCAGAAAGGCCATGATAAGTAAGAGATGTAGTTAGAGATTAGATAAGATGCAGAAGTGGAAGCATCAGTAGAAGAGCCAAGAA